CTCCAGGGTCAGCTTTTCCTGGAAGCCCACGTGGACCCAGCTGGCCCCTGCCCGGGTGTGGGGTTGTGGTGTGTGTATTGGGACTGTGGCCTGAGTGTCCAGCTGAGGCCACTGTGAGGCTGCTCAGAGCTGGCCTTCTGGTGGGGCTGCGAAGCTCCATCAGGACCTCCAAGGGCGGTGGCCGATGGGCTCTGGCAGGATCCTGTGCGTCCGCCCTGGGCGACACAGCCCGGGCAGAGTGCCTGCCTGCCCTGCTGGGCGGGACTCAGTTTCCCAGGTGCCCACGTGTGTCTGGCCCCGACACGCCCTGGGACCTGTCTCCCGGTGCCTGAGGTTGCAGTCATCATGGTGAGTCTCCAGGTGCCAGCATCGTGCTGACCCCTGGGTGGAGAGCTGTGCCGGCCAGGCTGCGCATCGTCACTCCAGGCAGACGGGAGCCGCTGCGTCTTCACACCAACTGCTGCCCACAGAGAGCAGGCTGAGGAAGTGGGTCACCGCACTGCGGCGGCCACCCAGAAGCTGGGCCACCTGAAGGGCCCGGTTCAGGATGACATCCACTTGATTCCAGAGCAGGGCAGTGGTGAAGGGGGCCCAGGGCGCTGGAGCGCTCCCTGGAGCACTGGTCTCCCAGCAGCCCTCCTGAGGTGGCAGGGCCTGGCCTGCCCTGGCTCTGCAGGCTGACGGGGGTGGCTTGTCCGCTGACTCAGGCCTGGGCGCTCGGACGCTCCTGCCTGCGAGGAGCCTCACTCCCCAGGAACTGCAGGAGGCTGCTGCTGTGTCTCTGTGCCCACAGCGGCCCCGCCGGGCCAAGTCAAGGCCTGCCCCAGGGCTGCCAGAGACCAGGCTCTCCTGGGGGGCAAGGTCCAGGTCCAGCACCAAGGACAGCACCCTGTGGGTCCTGGTGGCAGAGCCCTGCCTCTCCCTGCAGCTGAGGCATCTCAGACACACTGAGAGGGGAGGTCTTCCGCATGCTGTAGCCCACCACTCACTCCCGCCACACCCCCTCGCGGGGCCTGTGGCCAGAGGGGCCCACCCCAGGCCACTCTCTGAACTCATACCCTCTCTCATACCCAGCTCCAGGTGGCCCTCCAGGCTGGTGACTCAGTGACCCTGGGGCTGGCACCTGCTGCAGTGCACCAACAGGGGCCATGGAGGAGGCTGGGTGCCCGTCGACCCTCCACCTAGCAACTTCTCAGGCACTGGAGAGCTGAGTCCACTGCTGGGGGGGCATATCATGGCTGGGGAGGGCCAGCAAGGGACGGGGATGCTGTGAGAGTAGGGCCTGAAGTAGGGGGAGGGTCTCCACCACCACTTGCTCCTCCGGAAGCCCACCTGGAGGCCACCTCTTCCTTCTACTGGCTCTGGGCTCCTGGGGACAGGGCTTAGGGTGACAGCCATCTAGATAGTTGCTAAGACAAAGTTCCTTTGTATAGCCCATGCTTGGCACCCCAAATATCACTACAAGACCCCCAGCGGTCAGGGCCATGCAGGGCAGCAGCCGGGCTTGTGTCGTAAGGGCCACTATGTGCAGTGTCATGAATCTCAGGGGACAGGCATTGAAGGCCTGCACCCTGTGTCTACCTGTGAGGCCCAGTCCCTGAGGACAGGGTGGTGATAGAGGGGCAGATGGATCTCTAGCCACAGTGCTCTCCAGCGTCCATCTCCCAATGCTTAGGCCAGTGTGGGGAGACCAACAGGGGATCGGACACAGGGATGTCATGAGAGGTGTGTGGCCTCGAGCTGGTCCCAGAGTCCTGCAGCCTCATGACCCACTTGGGATGCAGTGAGGGCAGCTGGCCGGGGCCAGGACTCACTGAGGAGGACCACAGGATGGGCCCAGGCGCTGCGTCCCCTGCCTGCTGGCCACTTTGAGATGGGTCCTCTGGCCTGCAGGTGCCTTGGTGTCAGGTGGCTTGTGCCGCAGCCTAGGGCCCACGTGTCCACTGCCTCCCCACCCTCCAGGAACCCGTTGCCGCACTGTCACGTGCCGGGGGGGACCCCACTCACACCAAGGAGCAGCAGGACGGGGTCTGGGCAGGACCTGCCCCGAGGTCAGGAGCTCCCAGTGCCTGCGGTGGGACAGCCCCACGGGGCCCAGGTCCTCACTGTGGCCCCAGGGCCCAGGATGCCGGCAGCCCTTCACTGCCGTGGGCTCCAGCAGCCCTGCGCCCCCCCGCCCCTGCCTCCCGCAGACGGCGGTGGGAGCTGGAGGTTCCTCGGCTTGGGTCCCACCCATGCCATTATCTGTGACACGTGCACTTTGGTCTTGAGCTAGCCTGGTGTGTAAAGACAGTAATTAGAGATAAAGTCACAATTGGAAAATAAGCCCCAGCGAGTGGGAGGGCTGGGCGATCCAGGATGGTCCTGGGCTTCCCCCGGTAGCCGCCCGGCCCACAGTCCCAGGGGCTGCAGGGCTTGGACCTGAGGACTGGAGAGCTCCCGAGGGCACGCTCGCCACTCTGCCACCAGGGAGGTGGCCGAGCACCTGGGCACCCAGACACCCAGCCCTCGGGGCCCCTGGGGCTGTGGGAGAGTAGGACATGGGGCTGATTCTCTCCCGAGGGCACCAAGGAGGGGCACCTGCCTGCTGGGCTTTACAGAGTGGGCAGGTTCTCGGTAGTAGGGAAGGACGTTGTGGTCAGAGGGAAACTAGTGAAAGGAGGTGGAGACGGAGAGAGAGGCAGGGATCAAGGACACCAGCGTGGCTTCCCTACACGGGGCGCGTCCTCAGGCCGGAGTGTCTGAGCAGTGGTGGCTTCTGTGCCTGTTGTCACTGGGCTGGACTGCCTGTGCCCACAGGAGCCCTGGAGGAAGGCCTTGCGCCTGCCAGGAGCCTCTCCTTTGGGTGGCCCTTGGTCCTCCCAGCTGGACCCTTGATGCCAGGATCTCCCCTCCTGGAGGCGGGGTGGAGCCCAGGCCATGCCCAGCAGATCTTGGGGGCACAACTGGTGGGGGGACAGTGGCTGCACCCTTTTTATGTCCGACTTCTGGGACTTTGGTCCTTGGCTGCTGTCAGGTGCTCTGCCGTCCACGCCCACTTCCTGTTTCCTGAAGCAGGACCGCGTTTCCCACACACACCATGTAGCCCCGTCATCTGAGGTTGCCCATGCGTGTGGGTGTGTGTGCACATGTGTAGGCGTGTGCACGTGTGTGCATGAGTGCAGACGTGTGATGCATGTACAAGTATGTGTATGTGTGTGTACGTGTTCATGCATGCGTGTGTACATGCATGCGTCAGTATGTGTGCTGTCCCTGTATGGGGCCCTGAGCTCTGAGACCAGCATCTCCCCTGAGGTCAGCCAGCAGTGTCCACCTGTGGTCCCTGGTATCATGTTTGTAACGCTGTGTCTTCAGGGCTGCTGGGACCTTGGCTGCTGTGCTGTGAAGGCAAGACTCGTCCCCTTTGGGACATTCACGTCCGTTCTCCCTGAGCTGCGCAGAGCCAGGCCGAGGCTGCACCCTCCTGCCCTGGGACGGTCTGCTGTCTGCCCCTCCCGTCTCACTGGTCCTGCTCTCATTAGATCCGGGGAACACAGGGCTGCGTTGTGTCTTTGGGGTCTCAGGGTTTGGCCTGATGGGACAGGAAGTTCTGGGAGCTGGGCCCATCTCCCACTTCTTGTGGCCCTTGTGCCTGGCCTTGTCTCTGTCTGGGCGGTGCTCCGAGGTGTGGCCTGGCGACTGCAGGAGCCTCTCCTGTGTGGGGCTGGTGTACCTCCTGGCTGCTCCCTGGGTCTCCTGGGCCTCCAGCTCATGTGGGGACCTGCTGGGCCTTGTTTGACCTGCTGCACCCTGGCCACGTGCAGAGAGTCTCGTGTCTGTTGGGGAGAGCTCCCAGTGTGGGGGGCACCCCTGTCCTGACTGCTGTGCGGAGGAGCCACTGCCAGCCCTGGGTCAGCTGCGGCGCTTGCCAAGGTGGCTCTGAACGATGGATGGGCAGAGCTGTGGACACTGTTCCTGCTGGGCTCTGTGCTCCCATCTGAGCAGCTGGCGAGGCCCCGAGAGCCTGCACCAGGCCTGGGCTGGCGTTCCTCGGAGCACACCCCGCGGAGGGCAGCGGCTGCTCCTGCCTAGGGAAGCTTGCAGACACCCAGGGTCCCCTGGCCCTGCTCCCCGCAGGCTGGCCAGGGAAGTGTCAGCCTATCTTGGGACCTCTGGACCAGGCCTGGAGGAGGCACCTGTGCCCAGGCTGGGACACAGACTAGGGGAGGTGGCAGGGTTCCCAGGGATCCGTGGGAGCTGATGACCTGCAGAAAGCAGGGCCACCATCAGTACCAGAGGCAGGGACTGTGATGCCAGACTCACCGGCATAGAGCCTGTCCTGCAGGATGTGATCGGCGGTGAAGATCTGGGCTCCAGAGGACAAGCTGAGGCCAGGGCCAGGGCCAGGGGAATGTTTCCAAACCATGCGACACACAAAAGCTTGATTTCCCACCTGAGACAAAGGGCTCTTACAAACAGGAAAAGCAGCACACACGTGTGCACACGCCAGCCTGCCCACGGGCTAGGGAGCTGGGGAAAGACCCTACCTGGCCGGGGGCAGCTGGGCAGTTGACATGGCAGGGTGGGGTGGGAGACCAGGGCTCCATGGACATGATGAGTGGAGGTGGCTTGAGCACCCGTCCCCAGGGCTCCAGGGAGGAGGGTCTTGGGCCACAGGAGGCTGGGTGGAGCTGCCTGGGGAGTGGGCCTGGGCCTGTCCTGGTGTCCTGGGGCAAGAGTGATGTGGCCTCAGGCACAGGTCTGTGGGCTCCCAACTGGGATGGCCTCCTCCTGTGGAAGGATGAGGGCTCACTGTGACCAAGGCTTAGGGAGGGGTGGGCTTTGGGGGGCAGCGTGCCACCTTTCCATGGAGCTGTTCTGCCAGTAACTGAGGGACCTCTGGGCAGACGGTGGCCGTGGAGCCCAGCAGGCTCGGGTGCTCTGGGAGGGAGGGACAGAGTGCAGACCCTAAGCGAGGAGCCCCAGTGGGAGTGGTGCGTCCCTGCTGGCCAGGTGCAGGGTGCCGCGTAGCCCTGAGTGGCTGAGCCTGGTCCTCTCTCTCCTGCAGGCCTTGTGAAGCTGGGAATCCACTGTGTCACGTGCCAGAAAGTCGCCATCAAAATCGTCAACCGTGAGAAGCTGAGCGAGTCTGTGCTGATGAAGGTGAGCTGGCTGGGTGGGGTGGGGCGGGGCCTCTGCAGTCCCTCTGGATGGGGACAGGCGCCCCAGGACCTCCTCTTCTCCTCTGCCCACTCCTCCTGGCCACAGCAAGTGGCTTCCCTGGCCTGAAGGACAGGCCCCTAGCAGACAGACCTCCCTCGTGTTCCCACCTACTGCACCTGTTTCCCCAGTTAGAACAGAGGAGACCCCGTCCCTGAGGGGCCCCTCCCCACATCAAGACCAGGCTGGGGGCAGGGCTCATGTGCTGGAGTCTGGTCACTGGGACTAGTGCAGCTCCGTGGGTAGAAGGCTCCTGGGGTCTGTCTAGCCCCTCTGTGGGCTACTGAATCCTTGGGGCATTATGAGGCCTGACTTTGGTGGGTCAGAGGTCCCGAGACCCTGTTTCCACCATATGGTTATGGGACGGGCTGGGGTTGCTACAATGGCCAAAAGAATGTCCCCTTCAGCAGGGCTGAGGCCGAGCCCCCGCCTGGGTGCTGGACAGCTCTGATGGTGTCCTTGTTCAATCCCTCATCCTCCAAGGTGTCTGTTGTTCTGGCCACGCAGGGGCACAGGGCCTGGGGGCATCTCTGCAGGGCAGAGCAGGCCTGGACCAGGCCTGGTGATGGGAGCCAAGACAGGTGACAAGGACAGGGCTTAGGTTAGGGTTGGGAGCAATGGCCAGGATGAAAGTGACCGAGACCCAGGGGGATTTAGGGACTGTTGATGTTATAGTTTTCAGGATGCGTGGCTGCTGGAGGCAGGGATGGGTTCAGACACTGGATTGGGAAAACCAAGCACCCGGCGGAGAGTTGCACAGCTATAAGGGGCAGGACAGCAGCTTGGGTGGACTGGAGACTTGAGGGGTTGGGAGCTGACCTCTGACCCTGCCGTGGGGTGCAGCTGAGGCTCAGGGGGGCCAGGGCAAAGGCAGCACCCAGCTCAAGTGGGGCTCAGGATGAGTGCTGAATCTGGGACATGTGAGTGGGAAGCAAAGAGCCCAATGGCAGGAGGCCAAAGCGTGGGGAGGAGGCCTGGCACCACGGGGGGAGAAGAGCCAGGGGCAGGTGCAATGAGGGGCACTGGGCTGCCACCCTCCTGCCTGGGTGACTCCTCTCTGCCAGCTTCCGTAGGGCAGAGCAGATGTAGAGGAGGGTGAGGCCCTGCCTGCCTCTCAAAAGCAGGCCTGTGGTGTCCTCTGTCCACCATGCTCTCAGGGGCCACTTCTGACCTCCCTGGGCCCTGGGACAGGCTCTGGGCTCCCCGTGAAGGGGTGGGGGAAGCCAGGACATTCTTCTCACAGCCTGCTGTGCTGCATATGTATACATGAGCTTGCACACAGGTGGCTGCACACCCACCTGCAGCCCTGCCCAGGCTACAGCTGCCCAGGTAGGTCTGTCCTGGCTGCTCACCCCAGGCTCGCCTGGAGCAAGTCATAGCCACATGCAGTGGGGACCAGGCCAAGGGCACCCTTTTCCCTAGTCTACTACCCCCAAAGCAAGGTCAGATAGTGAGTGGACAGGCAGTGCTCTGGTGAGGAGAGCTGCTGGTCAAGCCCTGGCTTTGAAGGTGGCCTGATAATCGTCCACTTGGCAGGTGGAGCGCGAGATCGCCATCCTGAAACTCATCGAACACCCACATGTCCTGAAGCTGCATGACGTCTATGAGAACAAAAAATATTTGTAGGTATTGCTGGGCTGGAGTGCTGGGCTGGAGAGGAGTACTGGGCTGGAGTGGAGTGCTGGGCTGGAGTTGAGTGCTGGGCTGGAGTGCTGGGCTGGAGAGGAGTACTGGGCTGGAGTGGAGTGCTGGCTGGAGTGCAGTGCTGGGCTGGAGTGGAGTGCTGGGCTGGAGTGCAGTGCTGGCTGGAGTGCAGTGCTGGGCTGGAGTGGAGTGCTGGGCTGGAGTGGAGTGCTGGGCTGGAGTGCTGGGCTGGAGAGGAGTGCTGGGCTGGAGTGGAGTGCTGGGCTGGAGTG